CGTGATACGAGCCTTAACTCTAATCACCAAACCAAAATCTTAGTGGTATTTGCATTGTGATAACTGCAATTGGCAAAAACGTTTTGTATCTGACAAAAGACCATAGTGAAGCTCTAAAATAAGAAGCGATATGGGCACGGATTTAACGACACTTTAACTAATACACAACCCTATAAAACGGAGTTAACAACATAATGCATTGAAAGAACAAATATTCCCGACATCAAAATCCATTCTTAATAACGAAAAAGAAATTGAACTAAAAAGGGCAAATTTCACTTTACCCCCTGTGATTTAGCATTTTTTTTTATATAACCCCCCTATGGTTTCAAAAGCTATACATAACCCCCTTATGGTTTGGATTAAAGTGACAGGAATGATCATTCATAACGGCGTCATCTAAAATGTCAAAATTACCCTTCTGTAAAATTGAAATTTATGTATTAGTCAAGGGGGGTTATGTGTATATTTTAGAAATCATAAGGGGTTATATGGTAAAATATTAAACCATAAGTGGATTATATGGTAAAATATAAAAATCATACGGGGTTAATATGTCATGTATTTATTAGGGGGTAAAATATAATTTACCCAACTAAAAATAGTCGAAACTTTCGCCCGACATCAACTCTTTATCAATCACTCCACAATTTGTTTGATTCCAAGACATTTCCATGACAAACAAGTTGATATTAAAGAATGTTCCTCCTCTTAATTTTCCATTTTCCCACTGAGAAATCAATAATGCAAATATAAAAAAAGCCTCGTTCGAAATGACGAGAAAAGTTCATGCGCGGTCGCCGATGTTGCATTGGTTGTCTTCTTCTTCTGGCAAATTTTCTTAATGGTCCTTAAACTATCAGGTATTTGTCATTTTTACCCAATAGAGTTTTAAGGTGCAGTAAATTAGTCCTAAATCTTTTATAAACATAACAGTAGAACCACGTGATTTTATGAGAATCTAATAAAAATGCGATCAGTGTTGAATGGTAGGCAATCTTGAGTTGAAAAATTCTTTATTGGTATAATGCAAGAGTTTGTGAATTTTACAGATAAAGTGAATGGCCAGAAAGGTTACTAAACTATTAAGTATGACACGAGACAACCACTAAACTTTTTATGTGGCCACAAAGGTCACTAAACTGGTGAAAACGGATTAGTAAGGTCATTTTGTTAAATTCTACTGATAAAACAATGGGTTGCCAAAGGTTATTTTGTCAAAAAAAATCGTTAAATTTTAATAATTTATCAATTGTTTTACGAGTGGAGCTTGACAAAATGACCTTGGTGGTTAGGTTTTACCAATTTAGTGACCTTTGAGGCCATAAAAAAAAGTTTGATAATTAATCCTTGTCAGACTTAATAGTTTAGTGACTTTTTGGTCATTCACTTTTACTGATATAACAAAAATGTGTTTATTATTGTGTGTAATTACATTTTTGTTTATTTTCTTAATAGTAATGGTATTAGACGTGATGGTACAAAATTTAGAGGTCTAAGTTTCTTTGTGCATTGGCTTCCATGAGTAGCTACTATGCTTATTTTTAGCAAGCTTACGTGAAAGTATTGCATGATTATTATGTAAACTTGAAATTTAAAAAAAAAATGTAAAATGAGATTTTCGTTTCAAACTCTAAAAACTAAAATGAGATATTCTAGAAAGTTGGGCGACAATTTGTATTGGTTCTTCTTTGCTTCAGATACATTTGTCTCATTTAAGGTATTGTTTGATTAACCTCTTTTTAGTCCTTTTTCTCGCGGGAGAGCTAGAGTACTAAAACTGTACACAAAGATTTAGCTACAAAATTTATTGTGATATTTTCACCTATCTTCACGAATATCTTCGTATCCCACCAAGAAAAAGCAAGAAATTAAAAGACAAAAGGAGAGGGAAAGATTGAGAAGATCAGGTGCAAGAAGTAGTGATGTGCAATTATTTGAACTTAGGCAACATGCGTGCTGAATCTTAGATAATTTCACAAAGCTACCCTAAAGTTTCTGACACTTGCACTAACACCCCTTGAGGTTTTAAAAATTTCATTGACCTCCCATGGTAGAGATTTTGGGCCCTTTGCTTACATCATGGTAGCTGAAATTACCACTTTGTCCTATGAAGTTGGGACTAATAACTAACTTAAATTTGGGTAACAAAAATTTGGCGTCATTTGGATTAGTTAATTACATTTAACTAGAATAACAAAAATTTAATGTCTAATTAAACTAATTAAAACTTCGTTACAGAAAGGCGCCAAGAAATTTGGTGCCATTTTTGTGCCTAGTATGATTTGACAAGGATGATTGAACAAGTTTTTGATATTGTAGCCATATAACTAGAAGAGAAGAAATAGAGATGAAAAAAAAAACAAAGAAAAAAGAAGAAGAAAATGGAGACAATGTGAAGATATTGTTCATTTGTTGGGAGTGAAGATAATTTACAGTAGAAACCAAGGTTTGAATTTCCCTTTCATCTTAACCTACAATAAAAAAATGTTCTTGTGAATTAGTTTCAAGAAGACTAGTATGTTATCTACAATACATTATGAACTATTTTGCTTGATCAATAGATTTTTGAGTTAGTAATAAAGCTATATTCTGGGACTTCATGTATCTGGTTGTTATGTGTAAATTTATACAGTAAGGGATAATAGAAAGATATTAAGAGTTGAAGTAAATGTTGGTGTGTATTTCTGAATCTTAAGTAAAATTTGTATTTTGTTGTTGAAAGATGGGGGTGAAATTAATGATTCTCCCTATGGGTTGAAGAGGCCATAATTTCTGCTAAATGTTTTCATTATGAATTCTAAATGCAGCACAAAACAATAACTTTATGTGTACCAAACTCTTGCTGCTCTTGAGGGTGTAAATGCAATTGTGATGTTTATATACACTTGCTGCTGAATAAAAAATGGTGGTTTAGAACTTGCACTAGACGTTGCTATGGCTGTTAAAACATTATTTATGTTTCCACGTGGTGCTTGAAAGTTCCTAAACTGTTTTTACATCGCCTCAACTTTACTAATCATTTCAACCTTTTAATAACTTGCAATCTTCTACTAATACAAGGACCAAAGGCATTCATGGAATAAAAATCTCATCTCACTCATGAAAATAATATTTTAATCCTATTTGGACTGAATTGTTATCAAAATCTCAAATGCAAGGGTGGTCAGTGAAATTTTTAAAACTTTAGGAGGTATTAGTGCAAGTGTTAGAAATGTCGAGGACGTTTGTGAAATTATCCCTAAAATTACTTAGTCAAATGATAAAATTACTTAGTCAAATGATCCTTTTCATGGTTTTAAGAAAAGTGTCATTCCAGACCATCAAGTGAGAATCGATGAATGGGAAAATCGTTTAAATGTCTCTCACATTTTGTTAAATGAACGTTTTTGTCATTCACTCTTAAAATATTAATTTTATATTTCTTATAAATTCAATTTGACAAAATTTGATCTTAACCTAAACTTATAATCACATTTTAGCTTGAAATCACTATATGACCCACTATTTATATATAAAAACATCAAACCCTACCTTTTTTTTAGTAAAAAAATGAATATGAATTGGGTCAAATCTCACTTTTTTAAGAAAAAACAAATATAGTTCAGGTTACTAAATCTTTACATCTACTAGTCTTATACATATTTTAAAGTTCTATGCAATTTTATAAAATAACTTGGCTTGATAATAATTTCAAATGATTAATCACAAGCAGTAAATAATTTTTTTAAAAAATATATGTAATATTAATTAAATTAATTGGTGTACTTGTGACAAATATTTAATTATACTAAAAATTTTCAAACGAATACATTTTAAATTAAAATTAATATTAATATTGCACCCTCTGAACAAACTTCCTGACCTGTTGGGCCTCCTACCATTTGCCACGTTAAGTGGCTTCTTAAAAAATCTAAATGGGTGCGTGGTGCACCCGTCTGGTTCGGCGGTGGTTCAATCCCCATCGATCCCTTTAGGTCCAGTTGGATCTCCCCTTTAGATTAGGATAGTGTAGAATATTATAGATAAAGTGACGATTGACAAAATAAAATAAAATTTATGTGACAAACTTTTACATTTTAATCTGCTGGTGAAAGGATGGTAGGGCTCGCATTTCAAAAAAAGTGAAAAAATAATGAACAACATCAAAAGGTTGGATTTTGCTCTCTTTCCATATATACGAGAAGTATTGTAAAATGATATTCGTGCATGGTAGGTCACACAGTCGTGCAACGAAGCGCATCACACTATCAAAAGTAAATGGAACCTTGTAACTCGAAATGGAAAATCCACATATTAGCTGATAAGATATAATCGGTATTGTCAGGGCTAATATGGAAAGCTTTCTATTTAAACAATATTATCGAAATTCGATTAGCTAGTTTCCCTAGTGAAGATCACCTCAACATGATCCACAACACACAAAGGCAATTAATTGTATCTATTGAAACTAAACTTCCCTTTACATGCAAGTACAAATTAAAGATTGAATCAAAATACTTTAGGGATATGAACTGCTTCGTCACCTCCATCTCTGTACAAAAACTTGTTTTGAAAAACTTTACACCAAAAAATTAAAGGAGATAGAAAAGCATGCATGGATATTGCAACAAAAACTACAAACAGTATATATACGTGAAATTGGTATGATCTCAAATTGAAGTAGCCGAATCCCATAGAATAGCTCTGAAAGAGATTCAATGTCAGACTGCGGCTTGTTGTGATCAAGGTGCCTAAATTTTTTATGTTTACAGCATAGTTTGCAAAAAGGGTAGTGGCCTAGAGGGTTTGAAACCTGTCGCTGTTCATTAGAAGTGGATTTATTTAATTAGTTATACATTATTAAAGTACTAAAATCACTGACTTAGAATTCAAGTTAGTTAGGTGGCCATCATAAGGTTTAAAGTGGACTAATACCTACTTGAAAAATGGACTATCAAAAGTCACAAGCATGCTATGATCATATGATTACTTGCTCATAATTGATAAAACCAACAATCATTTCAGCCACCCTTCTGATAATCACCCGCTATATATTCCCTCTTGCACTTTCCTAGCTAGTATATATGAATGTGCATTTCTCTTGCAGATAGCTGAATCAGAAGACTAGCCATTAATGGAGGTTCCACATTTCGTTGTCTTATTTTACTCTATATATTTCTCATGTTAGTAAAAGTCCTCTAAACAACTGAAAACTTTTGGGGAAATTTTTTTTTTTTTTTTTTTCAGGTTTTCGAGTTGAAAGTACGCCTGCATTGCAAAGCATGCGAGAAAGCAATTCAAAAAGAATTGTGGAAGATTAAAGGTGGGTTATATTTGTTTTTAATTCCTCATAAAACTTTTCCACTTTCCTTTTTTTTTTTTTTTGGGATTTTAGTGGATTTGATCAAGCGAATTGTAGAGGGTTATGGTATCTAATGCATGTCTTGTAGGTATTACTTGTGTAGAGACAAATGTGATTTTGAACAAAATCACTGTGATGGGCTATGTTGATCTCAAGATCATAATGAAAGCAATTAGAAAGACAGGGAGGAAGACTGAGGTTTGGTCGAGCAAACAAAAGGAGCAGAGAAGTCGTGGATATGGCTGTTTTATTGCTCCCAGATGTGTCTTCTGAAAGCTAAGCTTTGATTTCAAGTGATTCATTCCCATACGTACGCATTTGTTAAGTTAAATCTCCTAGATGGCCAGATAAGAGTTCCTTCTTTTCCCCTAATTATGAATTTGATGAATTTGAAAGTTGAAAGATGTCAAAAAAAAAAAAAAAAAAAAACTGGTTGATGCAAGCATTCGTTAGATGAGATCTCCCACTCAGCTCCTCAAGAAAATTCAGTTGTAAAATGAGTTTAAAGGGCTTAGCATATGTGAAGCTGAAAGGTGAAATCTATGAGGTTCAAGCCCAAAGTTGAGTTTATGTAAAATTTATGTTGACCATATGTGAACGGGGCTTGAAACTCAAGATGAAAAAACCTTAGTCAGTTTAATATGTGAAATATCAATGTGCTTTTTTTCTTTTGAGGCAAAATATCAATATGCTTATGTAGTTATTGCACTAGGGAGATGGTGGCAGTTAATGCTTATTTGCTTATGTATAACATCACTTGGACTATAGTGTTAACTAGAAGATGGTTATTGACTCAAAATTTTTAGGCAAATTGAGAAGTTAGGCATAAATTTTCTAGTTTCTTCAAGAAAAATGTAGAATAAAACAAATTACAAAACAAGTCAGAATACAAAGTATGATGGATTTGTCTTTAAATTAAAACATCTTTTATGAACATCTTGTATCGGCCAAATTGTGGTTTGATTTCAAGTGTAAGGATTCTCGATGGTCTTAAAGGGTCTGAGATTTTGAAAAAAAAAAAATGTTGGTATATCCGTTCATTCAAAATAATTATACTATATTCGCTCCCAAATAAGTCTTTGTCCGAAAATTTATACCGTAAGATCTTCTCAAAATATAAAATACATGATACGAGCCTTAACTCTAATCACCAAACCAAAATCTTAGTAGTACTTGCGGTGTGATAACTTTTTTTTTTCTTTTCTCGAAGACGATATAATACACACACCCAACTAATTAAATTTGACTGAGGGTTAAAGCTAAGAAGACCTAAGAGGTAAATCTAAGAGGAACCCACAAAACTTACCCATCCAGCCAACTGGCAAAACGTTTTTGCCAATTGGCGGTGTGATAACTGCAATTGGCAAAAACGTTTTGTATCTGACAAAAGACCAAATTGAAGCTCTAAAATAAGAAGCGATATGGCACGGATTGTTGAGTCTGGCATCTAATCGTATAAAATGGCTATGAAATTAGACCCAACAAAATGCACCAAATAATAAGACGTTTCACCTCAGCTTCAGCTTCAGCGTCAGGTCCCATAACATCATCAATTGCTGATGCTCGCGCCCAAATCAAGGACTTCTTGGCTAAAGGGCTCTATGACAAAGCCATCAACCTTTTCAAAGACCATGTCCACCCCTTCTTTCCAAACCATGAAAGCAGCGTCTTTATACTGCCGTCGATCATCAAAGCCACTGCAAGTTCCCAAACCCACAATCCCTTGGGCCTTCAGCTTCACTGCTATGCCTTTAAAAATGGGTTTGATTCAGAATCTACAGTTTCGAATTCTCTCATCTCTATGTATGCAAAATTCTCAGATACAAAGAGTGCATACAAAATGTTCGACACAATGCCTCAGAGAGACACCATTTCTTGGAATTCGATGATAAATTGCTATATGCAAAATGGGTTTTTGTTGGAATCAATGAAGATGTTTAAGGATATGTATATTTGTGGATTTGAGCCCAAGCCCGAGTTGATTGCTAGCGTTTTATCAGCTTGTAGTCAGACAGAAAATTTTCGATTAGGAAGATTGATTCATGCTATTGTTACAGTGGATGAAAGATTTGACTGGTCGGTTTTCAGGTCAACCGCATTGGTAGATTTTTACTGGAGATGTCATGATCAGGAGACTGCTTTTCGTGTATTTGATAGAATGGAAGTTAGAAATGAAGTCTCATGGACTGCTATGATCACGGGATGTGTGGCAGATCATGACTATGCCAAGGCACTGGATTGTTTTCGTGCAATGCAGGTTGAAAAAGTTAAACCAAATAGGGTGACAGTAATTAGTATTTTACCAGCATGTGCTAAGTATGGTTCAGTTAATCGTGGAACAGAGATCCACGGATATGCTTTTCGTCACGAGTTTGATAGGGATTTTAGATTCCGCTCAGCTCTCATGCATATGTATTGTGAATGTGGAGAAATTTGGGCTGCAAAGCTTATTTTTGAAAGATCAACTACAAAGGATGTTGTGATGTGGAGTTGTATAATTGCAGGCTATTCACGGAAGAAAGAAACTGCTGAAGAAGCTCTAGAGCTCTTTAATGAAATGCAGAAAAAGGGATTTCAACCCAATAGTGTTACATTATTGTCTGTGATTTCTGCCTGTACCAATCTCTTGTCAACATGCCATGCAGGTGGAGTCCATGGCTATGTCCTGAAATCTTGCTTGATATCTGAATTGAATATCCAAAACTCGCTCATTAGTATGTATGCCAAGTGTGGTTGTCTTCAGGATTCGGTTAAGATTTTCAAGGAGATGACACTTACGGATTCTGTTTCATGGACTGCAATTATTAGTGCTTATGGTCTGTATGGTTGCGGGGAGGATGCCTTGCAACTCTTTGGTGAGATGCAAGAGAGTGGGATGAAAGCTGATGCAATTGCACTTCTTGAAGTCATGACAGCTTGCAACCATGCTGGCCTTGTGGAAGAGGGATACAAGCTCTTTAATGAAACGATGAAAGATGAGAAAATATCACTTACTATAGAGCATTATGCTTGTTATATTGATCTTCTTGGAAGGGCGGGGAAACTGGAAGATGCTTGTGATCTTGTGTCTAGACTGCCTATGAAACCAAGTCCCAGAATATGGAGTTCCTTGGTTTCTTCTTGTAAGCTTCATGGAAAGCTGGAAGTTGCGGAACTGTTGGTGCATAAGCTGATTGAGTCGGAGCCTGACAATGCTGCCAATTATACTTTGTTGAGTATGATTTATGCTGAATCTGGTAACTGGCATGGTGTAGAAGAAATGAGGAAGAATGTCAAAATAAGGAAATTGGTAAAAACTTGTGCATTTAGCAAGATTTAGCTGGATGAGAAAACATTGTTCTCAATTTGACATGCCACCATTCTTTTGGTAAATGCACAAAAGGTTGTTTGCTGGGTCTTTGCCTGTAGGCAAGGAAAAAATTGAAGACGCATATGATATAATGTGCAAAAATCCAAACCTCATGCTAGAACTCACTGTTTATCAGTACCTATTTTAAGGTTTTAACCTTCGTGGTGTCATCTAATACAGGTATCACAAGTTTATTGAATTGGGATGCAAGAATGATACAAACCGGTGATTGTTCCATAAAGCGAGTCTAGTAATTTTCTGGATGAGAAAACAGAGAGCTGAAAGAAAGGAGGCTCGAAGATATATATGTTATCACTCGCAAAATGTCTGAGTAGCATACCAGCTTCTGAAATTCATCTCCAATCTATTATAAGTTTGTGACCTTCATTGTGTCATCTAAAACAAGAACCAGGTTGCCTGAATCAGAACAGAAGACGAGAGTCCACGAGCTGGATAATTTTCTGTGAACTAAACTGAGAAATTTGAATGGAACGGTGAAACAAAGGCATTAAAAGCTAAAGGATCAACAGCATCAGGATGTTTTATGTCAATCCCGAAATTATTTGGTCATTAGGAAAGATGAAAAAAGGGAAATGTTTAGCAGAAATGAGATGGATCTACACAGTACCAATACCCAGATGCCCTTTTCCGCATCAACTATTGTCTTTGACATGAAGTCCAAGTTTTCAGTTCATTACAGCAAACAAATTTTGGGTTGATTTCTCTTTTACCAGTGGCACTTTTAGCTCAAGAAGCCCCCTCCCGGACTCCTTCCCCAGGTTTATCCTGCAATATGCCATGGTTTGCTTTCGGAAATCTTTACTTTGTCTGTCTGCCCAATTACAAGTAGAAGCTTGTTCATCCTTCATGATTGCCAAGTGGTTCAAATCAACGATCCGGATTGCTCTTGGAGTAGCAATTATACTTCAATATGTTTTGTACAAAGTTCAGTTACATCACCTGTAGTGACTTCGTCTTCAGATTTCAAGTAAAGAATCAGCCAACCATTTACCTTGTATGAAGCTTTACTCAGGGAAAGTGGATCTACTGCCATTACTTCCATAATCAATTCCACTTGTGTTTAAGATTAGGTACTATTTAAACAATTCACTGAGAACCTTGACTTTTGAGACCAGTAATTACCATATTATTAAGCATCATTGAGATAATGAAATTCACAAAGCCTGACTGACAAATTCATCACTGTCCTTTTGAATCACTTGTAAATGAAACCGCTAGCAGAGCAGCAAAGAAAAAAGTTATATGGAACTCCAGTATTAGCCATTCCAGTCAACAAAAGAACAAAAAGCCAAAAAAGCAGCTATTTCAGTCGACAATTATGAGTAGATAATCTCTGGTTTGACCTTTTTGGCCTTTTTCCTCCAGGGGAAAAGAAGAAGGAAGAGGAAAGACCGATGGGGGATGGGATGGAAGGGTTTGAAGATCATGGAATTACTACAAGAAGTCACGAATTCTAATGCAAACTATTTTGGCCCAGTAGTTTATTTATAATTCTGATCAGTATACAGATGGAGACAAATCCTCGGCAAACCACCATCAAATCAGCATGGTCCTCTTCTACAGTAGGGATGGTAACAAAAACTAAATCAAGATGCAGTCCAGTATCAATCTTTGTGATCCCCTCTATGACGATAGGGCCATAGCACAAGCTGCAGTACCAGTACTCCCCAATGCTTCACCTGGCAGAAAGCAAATCCTATTCAAGTTTTACAATACTCTGAAAGTTACCATCAAATCATACAATCACAAACATATCAGTGATCATCATCAAACATCAAATATAGGGTGTCCTTTATGCAAAACCACCCCATGGACCAAATCACTATTAAATTATGGTTTCATGCAGATAAAAAATTGCTCCGTGGGTCCTCACATTCTATACTAATGCATGGACCTGATTAAATCACTGTTGCTTCCAATATGTACACCCAATGCACTTAACTACATGGTATAAGCAAATTAAAAGAGCCTGTTCCAGAGCAAAACGCTAATTAGTTTTTACTTCATCACTATGATAGTTGAGAAAAACTAAATAGTATTAAATGCTAAAAAAATATTTACCATCCAGAGATAGACTTATTTTGAGTGTAAATGTTCATAACTGAGATGATGAATGAGAAGTGTTTATAGAATAGTTCTCTTTAATAAGTCCAATGAAGTTCAGAACATATTTCAATATAAAGTGAGCTTAAGTGCTTTGGCCACCAAGCTATTTGTTCTCATGCTGCATGTGTCCTGCATTCAAACATGAAAGATACGTATGACCAGTAATGAAGGAGAAAAAAAAAACACCTAGACAAAAGAAGCCTTGCCAGAAATGAAATCTCATGCCGCAGAATCTTGCCAAAGCACGTGTCAAAAATTGAAGAAAACTTTACAACCTTTGTTGGTTAAAAAAACTTCCTGCAACCTAGGGTAGTTCTAGAGTTCACCAAGGCACATTTGCAACTTGGCAGAGGTTTGGTGAAAGTCCCAGAAAAGCAGCAAGGAGAAGGGCGTATATACGTCAATTCTAACTATTGCTTCTCCAGTTGCAGACTTAGTGCTTTTTCAACTATAAACAGCATGAGCTGGTTCAGGGAGCTTAATGAAAACATTTGAATCAAATTCACTGACAGTGAAAAGGCTTACTGGTATAAAATTAAGTTTAAATCTCCGAATCATACTTCTAGATATTTATCAGACCATACCCAAGGGAAGTGATTGACCACTGGTTTTGTTCAGAGGGCAGGAGACTATATGAGAAAATCATATGACATTTGATCTGAATTACACATCATTCAAATGAATAACTAAATGCAAATTTCTTCTTTCATGTCTTAGGGCTAATGTCTAACCACAAAGGGAAAAGATAGAGCTAGAGAGACCTCAACATCCTAAAAGATGAAAACATTTCATCAGATGTAAATTAATGATTTTGCTGGAATACTCTAGACATACTTAACTGATCTTAAATGCAACACCTGACTCTGCTTGGATAAGCCAATAAGGAAAAACAAGGAAGTCCAAAACTAGCAAAAACAAGAAAGTTCAATAACTAGAACTCAAAACGTTGGATCAACTGCTAGGCATTGGGAAGAGAAATACATCACATCACACATAGCGAGCAGCAATATTTATCTGTGCCAATTCTGCATGAGCCAGTATTGTTGTGCATGCATTTCCATAAGTATCACTCAACCTTAGGCGGACGATGACGAGTTTTGAGCTGGCTTAGTGCTGCCCGAGCTCATAGAAGACGATAAATCTGCCATGTTGGTTGAATCTGCAGCGGATTGAGGTGTATAAATTCGAGCCTTTTTCAAAATTTCAGCAACAACCCAGTTCTTACGCTTGCTTAAAGGCCTGGAAGGATCCAATTTGACCTGTAAATGATTAATGCACAATCATCCTTGATCAGAAAAAACGACACTTTACCCAATACACAACCCCTATAAAACGCAGTTAACAACATAATACATTGAAAGAACAAATATTCCCGACATCAAAATCCATTCTTAATAACGAAAAAGAAATTGAACTAAAAATAGTCGAAACTTTCACCCGACATCAACTCTTTATCAATCACTCCACAATTTGTTTGATTCCAAGACATTTCCATGACAAACAAGTTGATATTAAAGAATGTTCCCCCTCTTAATTTTCCATTTTCCCACGAAGCAATCAATAATGCAAATATAAAAAATGCCTCATTCTTTTCTTTCCAAAAAAAAGGAGAAATGAGGAGAAAAGTTCATACGCGGTCGCCGATGTTGCATTGGTTGTGTTCGTCGTGAGCCATGAATTTGGAGGTGCGCTTGACGTAGCGATTGTAGAGCTTGTGGTGGAATAGTCTGTCGACGGCCACCACCACCGACTTCTGCATCTTGTTCGACACCACCATTCCGACCACCGGCTTCATCCTTCCCTTCTTCTTCTTCTTCTTCTCAGCCTCGCTAAACCCTAGCAATCAATTTCCCTCTATTCCAAAACCCTACACTGAAACAGCAAAACCAGAGAAGATGCTGCTCCGCTTGGCAAGGGACGACGACGGCGTTCTGATTATTGCGAGCAAATTTCCTTAATGGTCATTAAACTATCAAGTATTTGACATTTTTACCCAACAGAGTTTTAAGGTGCGGTAAGTTAGTCCTAAATCTTTTATAAACGTAACAGTAGAACCACGTGATTTTATGAGAATCTGATGAAAATGCGATCAGTGTTGAATGGTAGGCAATCTTGAGTTGGAAAATTTTTTATTGGTACAATGCAAGAGTAGGTGAGTTTTACAGATAGAGTAACAAGGTCGCAAAATTATTAAGTATGGCACGGGTTAGTCACCAAAATTTTTATGTGGTCACAAAAGTCACTAAACTGGTGAAAACGGGTCAACAAGGTCTTTTTGTCAAATTCTACTGATAAAACATCTGGTTGCCAAAGGTTATTTTGCCAAAAAAAATCGTTAAATTTTAATAATTTATCGATTGTGTTTACGAGTGAAGCTTGACAAAATGACCTTAGTGGTTAGGTTTTACCAGTTTAGTGACCTTTGTGACCAACGAAAAAAAAAAAAGATTTGATGGCCACCAAAAAAAAGGGTTTGATAACTAATCCTTGTCATACTTAATAGTTTAGTGACTTTTTGGTCATTCACTTTTACTAATATAACAAAAATGTGTTTATCATTGTGTGTAATTACATTTTTGTTTATTTTTTTAATGGAAAAATCGTTCAAAACGTCCATCATATTTTACAAGATGATTTTTTTCGTCCCTCACTTTTAAAAATGTAATTTTACGTCTCTTACAAATTCATATTGATCAAATTTGGTTCCTACCTAGGTTTTTGACTAGTTTTTTATCGGAATTCACCACGTGACTTGCATGTGATCATTTTTTAAGGGCAAAATTGTCAAATCAAATGTTTACATAATCTGATTCATAGTTCCTAACATTTTACAAAATAAATTTTTTCGTCCCTAATATTTTAGAAAATGAATTGTTTCGCTCCTCACATTTCAAAAAATGAATTTTTCCATCCCTCACATTTTTCAAAATAAATGTTTTCATCTCTCATTGATCATGTGTATGAATAGCTTTTTTTTTCTATAAACCCACGTATATGTCTATTTGATTTTATCTGAACAGTATGAATAACATATAATTTATCTCTATTGGATTTCATCTAAACATGCTAATCGTAGTTATACACATGCTATTCAATAAATATATATAGGGGTTTAAAACTAATAATTTTATTTGAATCTACGTATATATTTATATGATTTCACCATTTGAACCTATTCAATATTTGTGACATTTCTTTTTTGGTAATAATTTATTTATTGAATTGTATAATAATGTCATCTAATTAATGAGTCATAAGCCGAATTTTATAATTGTGCTAACAAATTTCAGTTTAAATATAAAATTTCTACTCGATACTTTTAAGACCAACAGTTGAATTACTTGCCTTACGATTGTCTTAAAATTTGAAAATGCCAATCATTTATTTCTTTTTGTCATACTTTTCTTTTGTTTATTTTTTCTGTCCAAATTTAATTCAATATAAACACTCGATAATATTTAGGATTAAATGTCTTCTTTATTTTCAAATTTCGAGTAAAAGAAAATGAATATAAGTGAAAAGCTAACAATTGTTTTAAACCCATGTATATATCTATTTGATTTCATTTGAGCAGTACGAATAGTATGTAATATATCTCTATTTGATTTCACATGCTATTTGTGCTGTTCAGGTGAAATCAAATAGATATATACATGAATTTAAAAAAAAATTATTCACACACATGATCAATAAAAAATGAAAAAATTCATTTTGAAAAATATCAAGGATGAAAAAATTCATTTTGTGAAATGTAAGGGACGAAAAATTTTATTTTATGAAATGTGAGGGATTATGAATCGAATTATATAAAATTCGATTTGACAATTTTGCCCTTAAAATATGATCACGTGTTAGGCACGTGGTGAATTTCGACAAAAAACTAGTCGGAAATTTAAGTAGGGACCAAATTTGACCAATGTGAATTTGTAAGGGACGTAAAATTATATTTTTAAAAGTAATGGACAAAAAAAGTTATTTTACAAAATGTGAGAGATGTTTTAAA